TTTCTCTAACTATATTATGTAGTGTTTAGTATTTCTAAATGATGATAGACATGTTCCCTAAGATCTCACATGAATTAAATCTTCAAGAAAATGAGAAAATAAAAGAGATATTTAAGTTTCGAACATAGCATCTCAACGGTGACACTAAAAAGTTAATTATAGAAAAAAAGTCATAGTAAATGATGATTTGGATCTGAGACATGCAATTAGGAAATTTCAATTCAAATTTGAACAAAAAATGATAGGAGAATAGGGAGTTCTGAAGAAAGGAAGGTTCAAAGGTCATTACCGCACATTCCAGAAAATGACAAGTTTTTAAACAAGGATCTCGAATGTTGGATATCCAATAAAATCAGGAAAATTTTAAAGGAAAAATGCTCACTTATGGGAGGAGAAGAGTTCTGCATTGAAAACTGATTAATTACACAAACATTCAAGGTTGAACATCAATCTCTGCTTGCCGCACACATCACCAATGTGCAAGAACATTGCGTCATCTTCTCCAACTAATTTTGGCAAAATGATCAACTCAACCATTATGGTTCTTCTTCTCCATCAAGCTCAAGGTAATTGGGTCATGAGGAGAGAGTGTTTAGGGCAAAGGCACAAGGTGCTAGTAGCCTTATTTGGCCGTAGAAGGTCTAAGTCTCCAAGGAGACAAACTCGAGGTATTTCGTTGGCTAATCTCCTGAATATTGGTGTGTAACTCTTGAAGACATTAGTAAAAACTGCAGCAAAGTTCTGTCTAAGACAAGAAGTAGCCGGATGAGAGGCGAACTAATATGCAAATCCTGATGTTCTTTGTGAGAGGACGTTAAGATGTCTTATCACTATATCTATGTCTCAACACATATTGTGACCTATACATATAGGTCTAGTTTAAATCGAATAATAAAAAAATTCTCAAAAACTCCAATTCAACCCCCTGGCTTCTTGGTGTTTTATCATGCCCTATAGTTGCAACAAGTACTAACTAATTTTTGGTGTTCATTGCTAAGGGACTAGCAATGATTTAAGTTGGAGGGTGTGATAACAATCTAATCTTACATGATAAACCAGGTAAAATTTACGTAATAGTAAAATTATTTTTTTTAAATACATATAGTTGAATTATAATACAATTACATGTGCTGAAATACTTTGTAGAAAATTAATGATTAAACATATACTTTGGATGATTTATACGCATGCATTGATTTAGATCTTCTTAATCAATGTGCCAATATAATCATACAAGGTTTATATTTATATTTTCAATGTTCATAGAGTTCAATTTTGAAATGGAAAAATAGAATTTATGGTGAATTTCTTAGAATTAGGTTGAAGCTTGTGTTGATTAAAGTTAAGACCTAATAATTAGGCTTTCGGTTCTCTCAACCACATCTGCACAAAAGGATAATTAAAGCAACAATTTAGACTGGTCATAAAATTCATGTGTCAAGATTAAGGCCACATCCGTTAGGTCAACTTAAAATAATAAGTCCACAAACATAAAAGGGAATAGCAACCAGTTGCTACATTTGAATTCTTCCCTTATTTGATCTGATTTTTTAGACTGCTCATTGGAGAGATTTAAGGTGACAAATTTTTGCCTTTTTGACATAAATAAAATGGAAGAGATTAGGGGAGAAAGGTTTCTTTCACTAACTAGTTGACATTATTTGATTCAAGGAAGAATGCCTTGCTCTTCACCATCATGATTGTTAAAGTTAGATTTTGTGTTTTAATTAGTTTTATTATTTTATTTTTATGTGTTAACTTGTAGACTAATTATAGTATTATACTGTTAAATAATTATACTAATATATTGTTAACTGTGTAATTTTTTCTTATTAGAAAAATAAAAATTAGTAAAAATAATAAAATACAAAAATATAAAAATATTACGGCCTAGTAGCAAGTTGGCACTCGACAATAGACTCGGAGGGACACTGTAGTCAAGTGGGTAGACCTACACTAGGAGAGTTATAAGCTGGGCTCGAGTAGCGAAAGACTCACTTCATGCACGTGTGTGTCACTCTCTTGCCATGTCCTAGTGGCCAACTGATCGTGGAGCAAGGAGCATCATACACATGTGCGCCCGAGAGCGAACCACCATTTTACCTTCTCCCAAAATAGTTATGGGTATTATTTTATTTTGGGAGAAGAGATCTCTGCCGAAAGAATGTTACTTTGATATATATTCAGTTCTATCGCTGAAATATTTCTAATATGGGACTAAAGTTTCTCGTGTGTTTGAGGGTAGTCATCTAGTGTGTAGTGTGATCCAGCGGTGTTTAGTGAGCCATATCATTAGACAAGCTAGATCTTGTGGCTGACGAACTACCATGATCCTAGAAGCATAAAGTAATCCATCAAAGGTTTGCGAATCCAATGCCGCTCAACATGCATGTGACCATAAATAATGATCTGATGGCGAGAGAAGTGCTATGGTACCAATGACTTAAGTTCTCGATCAGCCATGGTTCATGGTGAGTTAATCATGTGTCACTCAATGCACCACGTAACCAAGCACATCTGATCCAATGGCTTGTGAAGTGTCACGATATCGAGAACTTAAGTTCTCACACATATCACCATTAGGGATATAAAGACTAATTGATTATTGTTTGATAAAATAGACATTATCGATTATCTTTAAAATCTCGATGATAGTCACAAATACGGTAATCCATTTTTTCCTCTTTTTACACAATCAATGCCTTTGGTGATTGACAAGCTCATTCCTTCTTCGCCTGACTGCACTCAAAGCCTCTGATAAGTGGTCAGCTCTTCTCTTCTCTCCCGAAATGATAGTGTCAGTGTGGTTGACCCTTCTTTTCGATGGATCTCTCCGACAAGTAGCACAGCACTTTAGGACGATACTTCTACCACTTCTGACATGGTGTGGTACATCTAGATGAAACTAAGTCATCACATCTATGTCTCCAGTTGCCTAGGAGGTAGATTAAACTTGGGCAATAATTTATTTCTTACTTTTGTCATTTATTTACGTGCTTTCAATATTCATTTATATTTTACGGTAAGATATTTCTATTTCATATATGTTTCGATTGAAATGAGTAGAAACTAATTCAAAACTTGATGAATGATCTTCATTCTTCTTTTAAATCCTCTAAAACTCGTCTGAAATCAAGCTAAGATCATTTTCAACATATTTTCTATTAATTTTTACATTTTAATCTCTACATATTTATGTTCTCAATATTTTATGAATAATTGATATTTTTATATTTTCGAATGTGAAATCAATGAGATTAAAGGCTGCTTAATGATCGTTGAACTGTTAAAACAAGGTGGAGACACTTATAGCTGACCTCATGTCATGTGTGTGAATTTTTGAGCACACATTCGTCCAAGATCATGGTCACTATAAAAATAGATTGACTATGTTTCTTTCTCTATTTATTTTCATCTTATTTCTCTCTCTCCCTCTCTCATGAGACCTCTTCTTCTCTCTTCATCTCTTGTAAGATCTCTCTCTATCTCTGGATCAAACTCTATCTCTTTATCTCCATCAATTGATCTCTTTCTCTCACTCTTTCTCTCATTCTCTCTCTCTCTCTCTCTCTCTCTCTCATGAGGCCTTTCTCTCTCTCCATCTCCCGTGTGATTTCTCTCTTCCTCTCTCTTTCTCTTTCTTTCATCAGAGATCTCTTCTCTCTTTTGCAAGAGCTCTCTCTTCTATCTCTTTTTATCCTTCCTTTCTCTACTTTCTTTCCTTTATTATTCTCACCTCAACCTTCTATTTTATTATTTTTATTAAATAGTGATAAAATATTAAAATCATTTTATATATAAACTAAATTAGTTTCATGACGGATTAATCAATCTTCATAAGTTCAACTTGAGACTTACTTCTATACTAATATTTTTTTAAGTCGTAGTTATAAATATTATTAGATAATATGTATTTAAACACAACGACAAGTATGCATCAATGACATGGAGCACAAGAAGTTCCTTTCTTGCATAGAAAAAAATGTTCTTCTTAATTTCTTAAGTTTTACAATTTCCTCTTTTTTGATCTTCATTCATCTTCAGATTTCCTTTTTTATTGTGTTTTAATTCTTATTCCCACGCTTTTGTGTGCGATGACATAAGTGTGGTGGATCTCTTTACATTTTGCTCTTATCTTGTTCCAATTTCTAAAGTTTCAACTTTTTTTATTGCTTACTCATGTTGTGTGAGATAAGCGCATGATGGGATTAAACCTAATTTTCTTATAAATCATCTATTATAATGTCGAGATTTTATTAATTTATATTTCATCTGTTCTAGAACTTCTTCAATACACTGCAACCAACTAGTGGATCATCATTTTCTTCCTCTTCCTCTGTTTGTCTCTTTGGTTTGTCCATGTCATTCTAGAGTCCATGGGGCAACATGAACTAGAAGTGATTGGAAGATGAACACAAATTCTCTTTCATTTCAGAATTTAGTGGAGATAAGTGAAATCAACTGTGACAAGTTGGCAATAAACGTTGAGAAACAATTAGAGATATATCTTTTCTTTTATCCCTATGGAAATGACTTGAATCAACTAAATTATTATTTAAAACATCTTTGGAATTCGATTTATGAATTACTAAATTTTGGTATATTTTAATACAATGATTATGATCCAATAGTCAACATTACGTTATTTTATAACTTAGTTTTTTATTTCAATTTTCACCACTGATAAGTCTTCATTATCATTAGTTAATAATTAGTAAATAATATAGTTTTAGCCTTAACTCGTGATAAATAGACTTATATTTGTGTTAAAGTGTGAAAAGTGGTTTTGAGTTGATTAATGTGATTTTTTGGGTAATTATGTGATTTTATACGAATTTATATAATTTTTACAGTCTTACTTTTGAGATAAATGAAGAAAAAGAAATAAAATTAAAATATTGCAAAATGGGGGGACCCGCCGGCCAGCCGGGCCCGCAAGCGGGTCGGAAGCACAGTCAGGGAGTAGCCGCGAGTAGGGGCTTGAGCAGCTTGAACCAATGATGTGGGCACGTGTGCGCCATTCTCCTTCCACGTCACCGGTGGCCAGCCGGCTGTGGGGCAAGGAGTGGTCGTACACGCGTGCTTGATTGAAATGTAATATTACTTTATATTCACCAGAAACTTTGATGCACAACCGATGTGAGACTAAACCCACATCACCTTCCCCAGAAAGGGTGGGCAACTGGCGCGGGTTCAAATCCTCCTAGAGCCAAAACTCATATTTTTATCTAATTATCGTGACTTTCCTACAGATCACTAGTGAAGGATTAAGCAACCAAAATCGTTGGATCATCGGTGAAAATCTCATCAACACGATTCGCGGAGCATTGTTACTAAAATTGCTGAAGGATTCGCGATAAAAGGATCGCAAATCTATCGAGTAAATCATCTCTAATTGATCGACAAACAAGTCGTCGTCGGGAAGAGGACGATCCACCAGGAGACGAGTCACCACCTCCTGAGAGCGTACCAGATGCGGTGAAGAGCCTCCTCTTGCTGCATGGACTTGAGGATGAAGCTCCCTGACACGCGCCCCACCTCCATCCAGCTCCTCTCCATCAAGTGACAGCCGCCGGAGAGCCGCAAAGTTGCCGTTTTTCCGCTCCGCCGAGTGACAGTCGCTGGAGATGATTCGACGACCCATTTCATTAATCTCTAGACTTCGTAAGAAGATCTAGAGATTGCCCACGTCGTCTTTGTCTAAGGAGAGCCTTCGAGGCCGTAGACACTGCATGATGATCCTCCCGAATACTCAGGATTCTGGTGCATCGCCGACGCATCGCCGTCGCGACGCCAGAACTCTATTTTCCTACTTTCAACTTACTTTACGCTTCGTTTAGTGATAATTTCTGTGATTTGAATTTACCAAAATATACTTCGTTCACTTACGATTATTCTGCCTTTTACAGATCTTAATTTGATCAATTAAATTGTCTGTAATCACTTAAGATATTACTGCTATTTTTTTGGAAAGTTTATTGAATTATAATTGATATATTTGTTCAGAAATACTTCTAAATAACCAAAAATTCGTATTTTCTAGTTTTATAAATTTTAAATTTGCGTGATTTAATATACAACGACTAAGTCACGTCAACCACAATCACATGTCTTTGATGAATAGAATTTGATTTTCCACAACCTCTTCCACAACCAACTATGGTAAGCTCCTCTACCTCAATTTCTATCAACATACCACTAATTAAAAGCATCTTCACCATTTTTTTACCTTTTTTACATTTCAATTTTAGCTGAAAATGCATGTTCAAGAGATTTTTCCATAGATCTATTCATCCTTTTTCATGTGCTAATTAAGAACCCATTAATTCATTTTGAGTGTAAATAGATGAGTCTCTAGGCTCATCAATAATTATAACAAAGTGGTCAAACTTAAATGGAAGACTCCTCCATCCTTTCTAAATGACTTTCCTATTTGTTTTATCTTCTTCAAATATTCCTATCTAATTAATAATCAATGAAACACAAGGAAAGAAATCATAAACAGATTCATTAGTTTTCGTAAAAAGAGTTCCAAATTTTGTCTAGAGAATTTAATATTTACTCTTGTAATCTTATTATTTCCATGAAATTCATCTTTTAAAATTATCTATACTTATGAAGATCTTGTAGCATTAGGAATTCATAGATAAATAACTTTAGAATAGCTTGTTGTAATACTAATAAACCTTTTGCATCTTTCTTGTGAAATTCCTTAACATCTTGTTTAGGACTCTCCTCATCTTTATAGCCATGTTGAACCAACTCTCATAGATCTTGTGATATAAAAAATTTCATCATCTTAGTACTTCAAAATTCATATCTCTCTCCACTAAAAAATAAAACAAGATGTTGTGAGAGGTTGAGAGGATTACCATTTGACATACCTACAGTCAATGGAGTTGCCTCTTCTGAAAAAATTTGCACATGTTTATGTCTCTCACTTGTAAGAAACCTTCACGACTACAACAAACTATGTCTAATACAACAAACCTAAATCTCCAATACCACTTTGTAGGAAAAATAAAATCCAAATAAAGAGAAAACACGCCCCAATTTGAGGGAGAGGATGACTGGAATAGAGGAGGGAGAGAGGAACTGAAAACCCAGAAACTTAAATGTCTCTATCTATTTACAACATAAGCGAGAAAGAGAGAGAGAGATAGAGATAGAGATAGAGTTTTAAATGGGGGAGAGAAGAGGGGCTAAAGTGGGCCGGCTCACCTCAGCTAAAGGCGGGGCTAAAGGGGTCCTTAACGTGGAGCAGGTCACGCTTCCACATGGGTCGCAAGGTGGGACAAGGGGCACCCCTAGCGAGCTCAGCTGTGGCCATCAGCAGCTAACTCCCCCGGGATCTGAAATGATGTTGTTGAGCTGGACACCGATGGCGAAACCCCTGCATAGAAGCCTCGTTACCTGCCCACAATATCGATATTTTATTTTATGAAGATGTATCTTTTGCTCTTCACGTTTACTATTCTCTCTCTCTCTCTATCACAATGCAAGGCCTATTTGAGGCCGAGAGAAGTTTCAACATTAAGTGCTCTCCTCCTTTTCCTCCTTTTCCTCCTCTCCCTCTCTCTCTCTCTCCCTCCCTCCCCTCTCAAGCAATGGGATGCAGGAATTTCCTCGCTTATTCACATTCAATGTCTAACCCTCCTATGAGCTATTTGGTATCCATCTGACGACGAACTATTGTTGGTAGTGTCAGTCCATCATGACTGAGAGAGAGTGAGCAGAAAATGAGGGAGGTTGAAGTTATTACCTCCAATATGTGTGGGCTCGTCCATACGTAGACCGAGATACCTCTTTTTAGGGGGCAGTTATCCTTTCCTATTGTCTATAAATATGACATGTATTTCCCTTTTTTTTAGTACAATGGATGACGAAATTTATCTCTCTCTCTTGATTCTATCCTTTCTCTCTATCAACTCTCTTCCTCTTTCTTGGTCTCTCTTCTTTCTTCTATTGTATGCGAAGTTTTTATAGAAGTAGATAAGAGTTCATTATTGACTCTCTAGTGTGTGAGTCGTCTAAAAGGCATTGAGACGTGGATTAGAGGTGTCTGATTAAAGTCTTGTTCTTCTTAGGATTCTTGATAGCTTAGTGATTTCTCTTCCATTTATTCTCATTAATATTTAAAAATTAAGTTTTCACTGTTATCGTGATCTTATGCTTGTATATTTATTCTTACACCATTCTATGATGTGATGGAGTGAAATATACAAATTATTATCGCGTCAATGTGTCACACTTGATCCCCCTTAATAGCGACAACACAAAGTGCTAAAAACAGAAGACTCACAATCTCAATCAGGAGCCGTCTATTTGCTTTCTCAGAAGAATCTGACGATCTGGAAGATAAACGACCAATTTAATTAAGGAACAGACATTCAACATTGGAGCATAGTAGCTATGAATATTCATCCTTGGAAAACATCATTCATTTACAAAGGTTGTTAAACATTTGTCAAAACACGGTATCATTTTTTCGAAAGTATTCTATGACACTATCCGTCTCATCCAAGCGTTGAGACCATAAACATCAAAGATATCTATCGCCTCCTCCCTCTGCTAAGCTTCGGAGAATTTCTCTCAGCAATCCTTCATCATGGATTCCATCTCTTCGGCAAATCTTTCCATTGCGGGCGCCGGGAGCCGAAGCATCACGACTACTCCCTCCTCGCCTTTGGTGTTGGTGTAATGAAAATAGAAGTGGGAAACCTCATCGGCGTGCATCGGGGTACTGAGAACAGCGTCGCCCCACCCGAAGTTCAGCTCCCTGAGGCCCAGCTGCCTCAGATCCGATACGATCATTGACCCTATCGACGAAGTGTACGTCGCCGACCCCTTGACCGCAATCAGATCGGCCGTCGACCGCAGGTACTCCGTGGTCATCTCCGATTTCGCCTTACTTATCAGTTGGACGGCGTAGGCCAACGGGTTCCCGCAGAGTTCGCCGGCGGTGGACAGTGCGACGGGATGAGCAAACGAGTTCCCGTAGTATCCCGGGGGGACGACGGCGGAACACCTGCCGCGCCCCGTGACGATGGCCATGGCCCGCACTCGTTGTGCCGGATCGAGGCGGAGGGCGGCGATGCGGCACCGCCAGACGCAGGCGGTGAGCAGGTCAAAGGAAGTGATCTTCTGCATATCCCCCGGAAGCCGACTCTTCAGGGCACGGACGTCCTCCCGACGGAGGAAGAAGGACCGGAGCACTGAATCCTCGAACTTGACCGGTTCCTCCTCGTCGTACTCGCGATGGGCGTAGGACACCTGCGGGGGGTCCCGGGCCTGGAGCAGGTAGCGCTGCCACACGGGCAGCAACGTGGGGCGAGGGGCACCCCTCGCGAGCTCCGCCGTGGCCTTCAGCAGCTGGAGGAGTCCCGCGGCGTCTGAAAGGATGTGGTTGAGCCGGACACCCATGGCGAAACCCCCGCACCGAAGCCTTGTCACCTGCACAACAATACAGATATGTTATTTTATCAAGACTTGACTTTGGCTGTTCATTCTTCCGTTCCACTGCCTTTTCTGTCCTCCATCACTCTCTCTCTGTACCGCAGCTTTACCGCCGGTGTCGGAGACGACAAAAATGGAACTTGACTGATCAGAACGGCCATCCACATCGAAAATAGGTTCTTTGATTTGGTCCTGACTTCCTCGGCTGATCGCTTCCGTGTGCCATGGGTTAACTGCTGTGTCATAGCATGTGGAATGCATAGGGTTAGCTCACTTTCCGTGGCAGATCCTCACCTGGATAAGCAAGAGAGGGGTGTCATAGAGGCCCTCAGATCCATCGACGTTCTGGAGGAGCTGTTCAGAACACGGTATCGGCGGCAGCAGGGCGTCGCCGAACTGGTCCAGTCGGATGTCGGCGTCGGCCTCCGCGAGGAGGACACCCTCGCCGGTGCACTCCACCACCGGCCTCCTCCCATCGACCCCTCCGCGGATGCGACCAGCGAAGGGATAGTAGAAGACCAGCGCCTTGGAGAGGGCCTCCTTGATGACCCTCGCCGGGTCGGCCCCCACATCCATTCCCATATTGCCTCGGTAAAACCAGATTCCACTAATCTGCAGTCGCGTCGTACCCTGGAAATCGACGTCCGCAAGCTCCTTGAACTCGTGTGGAGTGGGCTCGGCGGGGGCGACGAGCACCGCCTCCCTCCGGCGAACAGTGAAGCTCAACCACTCGGCAGCCATTGGGAGACAAAATACGGAGCGAAGGGATAGGAAGGCGGGCGATGATTTCCCCCAGGCCGTCTTCCTGCTCTTAGGAATGTGGATGGCGTAGAGGGCTGGAGGTTGACCTTTTATAGATGCGAAAACCGGTATCTTTGGCCATACAACGGGCCGAGGGTGATGTCTCAAGCCAGCGCCAAGTACAGTGGACCAACTTTGATTCAACCCGATAGTTCGATCGCTGAGAAGACAGAGAGTGCAACCACCGTACCTATATATACACACACATATATATAGATGCATTACTTCTTCACGTTCCTCCTCCACCAACCACTCTTCAAGTGGCTCAC